TTTAATTATGTTTGAAATTATGAACATTGCTCAACATCATGAAAATTAAACCTTATTTTCAATAAGCAATCCTGAAAAATATTTGGGGGTGCTTAACTTTTTTCCAGGTGTATATATATATTTTAGGATTTATATATGCATTTTGAAATATCAAAAAATAACAAATTATTTTATCAATGCCACAGAGTTCCACTATAATTGTTCAGAATCAATAACTGAACTGTATTTTGGGTCTAAATTCCAGCTTGATTTCTCGGTTCAGTTCAATCAAAATATCCATTTGAAGAAGTATAAATTGTTTGTAGTTACTAATCACAGTATCACTAAGACGTATATTGCAAGAGTTGAACTTAATTAAAAGCTAGGATAATATGATACTTAAAATATTGCTAACGGAAAGGGTACCGTTCCCATATGCTTTCAGAACGAAAATGTGAATTCTCCTATGTTGTCGTATGTTTTGACAAAATCACTCTTGTAATCTTGCCATGTGGTGAGAACTCTACAGAGCATATTACCCAGTAAACACTAGATTTTTCATCAGTTACCTGAAGTAACTGTTGATGGTCTCATTCAATGGAATGTTTGTGAATAAAGAAGTTACATTAAAGCTAGACATAAAACATTCATTAGGACAACGTAGGTCTCTTCAACAAATTAGAGTGAGTAAAGGGCAGTAAATTCATTCAATTTTAATAGTTTGAGAATAGGTACAAGGAATCTGATTATTTTATAACTGTGTATTCCAAATACTCAAAGGACAGTGCATAACTGATGATTATGTTTATGAACCTTGGGGACGCCATACGTTATACCAAGTTTCGATCCACAAGTTTGAATGCATCGCCAATATTAATATTTCCAAGTCTCTAAGAAAGTGCTACAGGTTTTCTTCCATTTAGATGGTTAGAAAGAACAAATCTGTAAGGAGTTTGGATTCTTACAGTGTCACTCAGAATGGTGTTCATTTTTACAAAGTAGTCTGCTTGGTATAATAACACAACTCCAGGACTTGTGTTATTAGACAAAGCAGACAACCTTTTAAGAAGTTTATTTATTTCTCTGTGACAGACACTAGAAATAAATCATTTCTCTCCAGTGTATACCATTTAATGTTATTTCATACAATCTTCTCTCAAGTATTTTTAATTAATAACTTCCTATAAATGTTTCTATATAAACTACATAACTGTGATAATTTGGTATAATTCCAAATAATATCTTATCATAAATTTGTGGTTATACACGAAATAATTGTATCAACACCCTAATATGTATCACTCTCACGTGCTATGACACACTAAACCACTATGAGAGTTCCTCTCCAGTACATATTCTCAAATATATTCTTAAGTTCCAACTTTCTTGTCACAGACCATACAAATATATTCCTTTCAATTAATATGAATCTTTTTAATGACTTTTAAAAAAATTACATCTTTCAATTCCTTGCCATACACTATACATCTAGATGGTTTCTCTAGAGTATCTGATAGTATACTTTTAAGTGATTGTTTCTTCCAAATTAATTTTCACATTCCAAACACGTGCAGATTTCCTCCCAACTGTGTATTCTTTGATACATTCCAAGTTGACCTTTAATATTAAATTATTTACCACACACTAAATAACTGTATCACTTCTCTCCATCATGTATTCTCATTGTTTCCAATGTTTGCCACACACATACTGCACAAGTATATAATGTTTCACAGGTGAGTTTTTTTATGTTTGTTCAGATGAGTACTCCTTCCAAATTCTTTCCCACACACTTCACATCTATATGGTTTTTCCCCAGTGTGTATTCGCTGATGTATTTTTAGGTCACTTTTTTTTCCAAATTTTCTCTTACACACAACACAAGTGTATGGTTTTTCTCCAGTGTGCGTCCTCAGATGTATTTTTAAGTGACTGTTCGTTCCAAATTTTTTGCCACATACTACACAGCTGTATGGTTTCTCCCCAGTGTGTATTCTACTATGTGTTTTTAGATGACTATTTCTTCCAAATTCTTTTCCACATTCTAAGCAGATATAAGGTTTCTCCCCAGTGTGTGTCCTATTGTGCCTATTTAAATCACTATTACTTCGAAATTCTTTCCCACACACTTCACAACTGTATGGTTTCTCTCCAGTATGCACCCTTTCATGTATTTCAAGTTGGTTTTTATTACCAAATTTCTTGCCACACACTATACAGATGTAAGGTTTCTCTCCAGTGTGTATCCTATTATGTTTTTTTAAGTCACTATTATTTCCAAATTCTTTGCCACACACTGCACAACTATGTTCCTTTTCACCAGTGTGAATTTTTTTATGTCCATTTAAGTGACTACTTCTTGCAAATTCCTTGCCACACACTGCACACCTATATGGTTTCTCTCCAGTGTGTATACGTTGATGTATTTTTAGGTCACTATTTCTTCCAAATTCCTTGCCACAAACTGCACAGCTATATGGTTTTTCACCAGTGTGTATCCTCAGATGTATTTTCAAGTGACTATTTGTTCTAAATTTCTTACTACACACTGAACAACTGTATTGTTTATCACAAGTGTGAATTTTTTCATGTCTATTTAGGTGACTTTTTCTTCCAAATTCTTTACCACACTGTACACACTTATAAGGTTTCTGTCTAATATGTATATTCTGATTTATTTCTAGTTTATCCTTGCAGTCACCTTCTTTGGATTGATACAAGACGTTCCTGATAGAAATAATAGCAGTTCTCAGAACCTAAGCTCTGAAGATGAAATTACCAAAACATTTTCTACAGAAAATAACTTAAAACGATGTGAGATTACTTACACTGAAGATTCATCATACAGTTGTGTTTTGTGTGGTAAAACATTTAATGAAGATAGAGAACTAAATATACATCAGAGGATACATACTGAGGAGGAACAATATAGTTGTTTTGTGTGTTCTGCTACAACCAGGAAATTGTCTTCCACAATGGTTGTTCATGGAAGTCTCTGGATCTACAAATAGATACAAACATACTAGTTACTACATACGTCATGTATAAACTTAGTTAACATTTTAAAATCATTTTATATTTCTTTAACTACACATGTTAATGAAAGTTTGATATTACCCTTCAAAATGTATGAATAGACCCATATTTATAAATCATACTGTGGTCCATTAATAATGAAACTATAAAGTTAAGTGCAGGTTTAACTTTTTAATGACAATTCCAATAAGTAATGCATTTCTAAAATTTGTATTTTAGAAATTAACACTTTGCAACTAAGAAATCAAATTTTTTATTTAATGGTTATATTCATTATTAACCTAATGATGTAGCTATTGTTTCCACGTAAGCATATTTATTTTATGATTTTTTATGTTCATAAAAAATAAGTGTTCCAGAATTGTACACAGTCTTATAAACTATTATATTATTGAAGGTATGTGAATCACAGTCTTTCTATTTCCAAGGACCCAGATAACATTTTTCAGTTGTGCATTTTGGAAAGCAAGCAAGGAGCAGTGTTCTCCCTTTGCCATGATATATATTTTATACAACAGAGCCTTTTGTAAACATCTGTTTGTTTGTTAACCATAAAGTTATACAATGGACTATCAGTGCTATACTAACACAAGGTACTGAAATCCAGTTTTTTAGTGTTATCCATATTACTGTGAAGTTGAAAAAATACATATTTTGAAAGTAGTCAGTATAAAAATGCACATCTACTCACCACACACATCTGTTAAACATGTAAATTTACATTACATACATGTATAATCTTTGCTCATAGAAGTGCATAAGCATGGGTGTGTGTGTGTCATTAAAGTAGTTAAGAACTTCAGTGTATTATATTAAAAGTATTTTGGAGCCTCATCATGTCATTACACTCCATGTTGTTAATTTTGAACAAGTTCTTTTTGACTGCTGTGCATCTTGACAATAGTCCTGCAGCATTGTTTCATTTTCCAAATGGCCCCCTAGAGGTTCAGCAATAAGTTTGAAGGCTTTTGTCCACATGTATACACACGTCATGTCTATATGCTAGCATAAATGGAAATTCTGCTGCATTATTGTTTTTGTATTCTCACACTTACAAATAATTCTGAGATTCATATTTACCAGAAATACATTTTGTAAATATTTGCCTGTGTATCAACATAAGTAATTTTCAACTTCAACTTTCAGAACAACTTTTGTTTTCAACATTCCAAATAACTACAAGGAGAAGAAAATTTTCTGTCTGTTATATAACGAATTAAGAAAGTAAGTAAAAGATCAAACCAAAAGTTGTTGTTCTCCAACACACTTATATACTCTGAAATACATTTTTCATTCATGCAAGAAAGATAGGTTTATCCAAATTTCACATAACACTATAAGCTCCAGCACCTTCACTGCTGAGTAGAAATAAATACAATATCAGTAACGTGAACTTTGAAATGATCTATAAATCCACTTGTCTTAGGCCTAATATTTGTTAAGCCTAAGTTTGATAAAGAGATAAATTAACACTGTAACTTGTGCACATTTTTTTTAGCTTAGTTAGGGCTAAACTTTATTGTACTTAGTACTACAAATAAATAATCTTATAATGTTATTCAACAATCTAACGTTACACATTTTTACTAACCTATTTGATAAAGATTATTACTGTGTAAACCTATTTACTTAGAATTGTTTCATGTGTACCAGGGGCTCATGCAATTGGGCAGAGTGGCTTTAAACTTTGCATTCAAATCTCCAATTTTACTTTTTAATTTTCTCCCACACTCAGATTCAACTTGCCTTCTTTTTCAGTTCTGTCTGTGATGAAGGTGACAAAAGGTATCATCACACATTTGGTTTCCATACTCTCGACATAAACCAATCAAATCACCAAAACACTATACATTTATAACTCAATATGCATAATGTATACATAAGACAATCAGTATGGTTAATATGATCTCCCCCACCAAGGGTATGTCAGAACTAATTACACATTGTTTATCATTCAAAGTGTGTGTCAAAACAAATGTAAAAAAAGTTGATTATATACTGTATTGATAGATATAATTGGATGAATTATCATCAGTGAATAAAAGTAAAGTGTTAGTTATCACTGGGAAAAGTATCTTTTGGGACATGGAATGGTGCATTTTTTTATTGGATTGTTTATCAGTTTATTCACTCAGAAGGTCTTTAGCAAATTAGTTACATGAAAAGTCGTTCACAAATAAGAGAATGAAACAAGAAAGTTTCAAATGAGGATCACTTCAGTTGGTATATGCAAGTTAGTTAGTGATTTTGGCATTGCTCAATTTGTAAATACACAGAAAAAAGCAATGCAAAAGACTACTAATCACAAATGTAAAGTTAAAAAAGAAAACAAAGAAAGGAAAATGCAGGAAAATGATTTTATATTATTTAAATAAAGACATTTTATTGATACTTCAAAGTTCATGGTGAAGTCTCTACTTTTAAAAACTATACATTGTCAGAAGTGTGGTATTCATTGGTTGGCTGTGAAGGGTTTCTCTATCTCACATTTTTGAGGTAGCTAGAACTGTGGCATTGATTATTTCAAAAACATTATTTATTTTACATTTTTGAGGCTGTTAGAACTGTGGCAAAGATATATAACAAAAACTGTTGTGATCGTTGTTTTTGAAAGCATTGTTTTTCTCACATTTGTGAGGTTGCTGGAACTATTCCAAAAATTTGCAACACAAGAACTTTGGTTTGAATTTTCCTGAATGCATCGTGAACCACAATAATGGTCCATAAGAGTTGGCCCAAAAATTTTACAAAACTTCTTATAGACGATATGGTCATAAACTATCTTAAAAAGCAGACTTATTCTTGAAACAACACTCAAGACCTTCTATCTCAATGGCTAAGGCTACTAAAATATTGATAATAGCAAAAAAGTTGATTTTCCAATTGTTAAACAAAATTCTAAATTCATCCATTTGTTCTTCATCTTATTATTCATATTATTCTTGTTTCATAAGCCTAGAGAAAAAAAAAAAGGCTATGAATATTTTATTCAAACCTGGACAAACCTACTTAAAAATTCCTGTGCAGATTATAGAACTATTTTTATGTTGATTCTTGAATGAGGAGGAGAGATAAGTGTTTATATATATATATATATATAAATAACTAATCACTACTGGACAAGTTTATCTACAGCAAAAGCAGCTAGATATAGTTTGCCAAAATTACTAATCAAACTCCTGTGAAGATTGTAGGGCTATTTTTAAATCAGTTCTTGAAAGTTTCCACCCTCTAAAATTTTCTAAATTCTTCTTCACTACCAACATAAGTTCTTCAAAGCCATTCAAGCATGTCATAAACAATTTAAGCAACATGATACTAGTCATAAATGCTCCATTTTATTAGAGTAAAC